ATCATTCTAAGGTTGATTAGGTGTTCATAGTGAAAATCAAACTAAGGAGTTGCATCTAAATTGTTCAGGATAATAACAATAAAGTAACTGCGGGAGATAGTGTCTTTCAACTTGATGAGTTAGTTGATCTCTATCAAGTTGAAAGTAACAATGAATATTTAACTTTTGTTTATGATTATTTTCAAAATAAATAGATGAAATAATAGTCATAAATAAAAGCAATTGTGTGGATTTATTTATTGATACATATTTGCAAGCAATAAAATTTTGAATAGTCTCTTGTATAAAAAAGATGTTGCCGGAATTTTTTTTAAAATACAATATAATGATAATATTATTATCTTTTTTATATTTAATTTGTTTAGATGATGAGAAGAATATTGTCATTAGATAGTAATATGGATAGGAGTGTTGTTGGTTCTTTTAGTAATGCTTTTGATAACCATAAATCACTAGGTGCCGACCATGACTTCAAGCACATGCACCTTCTCTTAATACATGCTTATTGAGAGCAAGGGCAATTCGCTGAGGAGTTGCCCCATCTGAGTAGCAAGTATATATTGGGAAATATATTGCTTAGTGGAAGCCCAATGACAACATGTAAGTTTGTTTTTCTTTTTTGCTCGATAAAAAAATAAACAAGAGTGGATAATTTTTTAATAATTAATTTCAAAGAACAAATGAAAATTAAGGTTTAATCATCGATGAAAGTGCTTTTGTTTTAGTGGAGTCGCGTTTTCAAAAATCCTAAATGGAAGCCTCTGATTGATGCTTGATTTAAAAAGTTCACAATTAGTATAAAAATGAATATTTTATTATTATTTAATTCAATTAATTTTTTAATTTTAATAAATTAATTATTTTATAAAATTGACGTACAATGAAAAAATTTAATGAGAGGAGGGTGCCAATGCTATTTCTAGGGGAGAGTGCGGGAATTACAACATTATTAAGTAAGATGGAATAAAAAATGTAATTTAAAAAAATCCAATTTTATTTTTTTAATCTTAATTGATAAGTTTTTTTTTCTACAAATCAGGATGTGTGATTCTTGGTATGAGGTGCGAGAAAAATCAATGAAATATATAAAAGAAAGTGGTTTTTCATGCTAAAAAGATATGACTATGTGGAGGGATTTTAGACCTCCGCCCATCTTGAAGGCTATTTAAGACACTTATACCTAGCACATGATGTTTGAGCTTTTATGCAATGTTCACAGTCCGATATGGAGAATTAAACCAAGGAGACTCATGGTTTCTTTACCATACACACCAGCAAATCTATTTTGTTTATTTTGAATGCAAAACGGATAGTAATATTTTGTTTTATAAGATAATTTTTTTAAGAAATTTTTGTATTATATAAAAAATATTTAACCAATAATAGCTTTATTTTGCAGGCTATAGTGTTTGGACGCAATCCAATACTGATAAAGCTTTTTGTTGAAATATATATGCAAAATGAGGACTATCGAAGGTGCAATAGCTTATAGATAACTTAGCTCAGAAGTTTGTGGAAAGTTGGTTTTCAACAGTTGTTTTCTTAAGTTATTTTTATAATTTGTTGACTTGTTTTTTTTCTAGAAAATATATAATGCCTGGTTGCATGAGAGATACATGGATGATTCTTCAACCCATCTAGAACTTGATTCAGATTTGTGGTTAAAAGTTGGATCTACTAGCGGACTAGATAGAAATTAAGTTTACAATATTTTCAACACTACGATTGAGGATAAGTGGACGTGCTGCAATGTATCGACCATTGGCTCCTCACAATCAGGATTAAGCTGTCAATCTTCGGCAGTTTAGGCAATGGTACGAGAACACATCCAAGCTCAAATGACCCAACTTAGGTCTGAGATAGTTGACCCGGGGGGTAAATTTAATCTCTTTGAGCAACTATTGGCAACCCTTATTGGTACATATAGTCAACCTCCCCGTCCCCTAGTTCGTGCCTCCACCTCATCTTGTAGTTTCTATTTATTAGACAAATTGTATAGAATAATATTTTATTAAATTAATAATAAAATTTTAGTTTTTTATTTTAATTCTTTTTGTATTGTTTATTTTATTTTTATTAAATACAATATTAACATAATTTACATCACCGATGTAATGAATGAAGGACTAAGTCCTTTGAAAAGTTGTAGAAAGTTGGAAAAAAATTACATGGCATTGCCCCTAACAATTACAAATGAGATTACAAACGGATTAAGTCCATCAGAAAGTTCTAGTTATTCGAGAAAAAATTATAGGATTTGTCACTATTAGATGTGATTCTCTAACAATTTAATTATACAGTAATATACATATGATCACCAATAAAATTATTAACAATTTATATTATCGATAATTTCATTTGTAATATAATTAATCACCGATTGATTTACCGAAATGGATGCTAGTAAATCTATTTTGTCTGGAGCTCTATTTTTATTTATAAATCTATCAGTGATTATATTATGGATTGAATGAACAATAACATATAAATCATCGATAATATGTTTCCAACCATAATTTTCTATTTATGATTTCATTACTAAATTTTATTTTGACATAATCAATGTTTGAACATTGATAAAATATTTCATTGATGTTATGCAATATTCTGTTAGTGACCGCACTAGAAAATTCTGCACAATCTACGCATATTATATCAATGATTGCCGCATGTAAAATTTCTCATAAATTCAAATTTTTTGCTACTCAACGGTTCTATTTATTTATTTATTACAATGATGCAAAGTTTCTGGATTCGAACACCACCTCATGAATTCTGGTCAACAAGTAAAATGATATTCCAGGTTGTATATAGTTAGGTAATAAACATAGGGTTTCTAATTTATAATTGATTGATTCTTTTTAGGTGTTAGTTTGGTTGCATGTACAAATTAAGAAGCACACCTGCACATATGCGGTCCACAAACTTAAATTTAAAAGATTAATATAACATAAATATATGGTTCAAATTTATTGAGAGCATTAGAGGTTGAATATCAAATAAGGGGAAGGAGTGGGGACCATGTTGCCGAAGTTGATAAGTTTTTGAGTTCTTGATCCCTTTTCTAACATAAGTTTCAGGATTATTAAAAAGGTTTGGGAAGTATCTAAATTATTGTTTTTTAAAGTTTTTTTTAAAATATATTAAAATAATATTTTTTATTTTTAAAAAATTATTTTTAATATTAACGTATTAAAATAATACAAAAAATAAAAAAATCATTCTTTTTCTAAAAAAAAAAAATATACAAGTATTACATTGTTCCCGTAACCCGAAATGATTAGGTATTGAAAAGAAGACCAAACTCATACCAGCTATAGCATTCACCCGTCAATGGGTCCCCGTAGGCCCTAGCCACAAATAACTGACCAAGTCCATGTCGCGATCTGCCACGTCATGTGGAGACTCTTATCCTACTGACCATATATAACCAACCATGTTGCCTCTTTGTCACGTCATTCTGATTTAATTGTATTTTTAAATTTTTATTTATTTTTTTAGTTTTAAATTCATTTTTATATATTTTTAAATTATTTTGAAATAGTTTTAAATTCATTTTTTATATATTTTTAAATTATTTGAAATGTTAATGTTAAAAAAAAGTTTTATAAAGTAAAAAAAATATTTTAATATATTTTTAAGTAAAAAATATTTTAAAAACTAACTTTTATTACACTTCAAAAACAGGACATAAATAATATATCATTATTTCTGAAAAGTAACATTAGAATAATTACTTTGAATTGCTAAAAAAAAATTAGTTAGTTACTTAAAAAGAAAATGTGATTTTTACCGATTAATTTAAGCTGATTTTTTTAACTTTTAACTTAACAGAAAAGATTGTATGTTCATTAAAAACAACTTTTAACTATGCTAAGAGTTTGTTATATAATTGAATTAAAAAGAAAAATTGATCAAAAGTTGAAATATTTACTCACAACTTATGCTAACTTACACTATATTCTGTTTTCATAAAAAATTGTTTTGTATCAATTTTCTTAAATTTACTTCTAACTTGACTTCATTTTATTTCATTTTTTTCTCAGGAGAAATAACTTTTAAATTATAATAGAAAATCAAAATTTATATTAATATCTATTTAAAAATTAGTACACACGCGCGTGTACACATACGCCCATATATATATGTATAACATAAAAAATATGATACAAATTTACTGCTTAAAGTAGAAGGAATTCTTCCTATAACAATTTATTCAAGTGTTAAGAAATATCTATTAATTGTTGTACATATATTTTAGAAATAGAAATCAATTATGTGTAACAGAAGAGAAGTCTTTTTTAGGAACTACTGCAGTGGAAATAATTATTAATGATACAATTAGAGAGTTTTATTGGCAAAAAGGTACGAAACAATATCAATACATATAATACTAAATGTAATGGTTTAAAAGCTGTCTGTCATGTGTTGAGTATTACTAATTCTTCTATGAATTTTTATTGTGTGGAGAAATTATTACTATATATTAAAAAAAATGATATAGTTATTTTAGAGGGGGCTACCGCTCTGTCCCTAGCTTTATAACCGTTTTTAAAAATTTATTTATAAAATATTATTTATTAATTTAATTTTTTTAATTAAAATATTTATTTAACATGATATTAAAATTTTAATGGCTAAATAATTATGGACTTAAAACTCTGCATCTATTATATCTAATTAAATTAAGAAAAATAGGCATAATAATATATAATGATGAAACCGCACCAATCTTAGGCTTAACCACTTAAATTAAGTCGCCAATAGAAATAACTCCTATCATTAGATGAATTTTCGTTCACAAAACATGACGTGATGTCAAGATTCCCCATGGCGATGGTGCACATACACATAGACATGCATAGATGATAGGCATGTAACACATGTCCACTTCTATAAATGATCAGCTAGAGAGCAGATGGTGCACATACACATAGACATGCATAGATGATAGGCATGTCACACATGTCCACTTCTATAAATGATCAGCGAGAGAGCAAGCAAGGGATAGCAACGTGTCTTTGCTTAACAGGACATTTCTTTATTCAGATGGTTGATAGCATAGGCAATAATAATTCAGATAAGGAATGGCTAAAGTACGACTTTGCTGGGGGCAGTACCAGTGATGATGGAATCATCAAGGAGCAAGACAGATTGCTACCCATAGCTAATGTGGGACGGATCATGAAGCAGATTCTGCCTCCCAGCGCAAAAATCTCGAAAGAAGCCAAGGAAACCATGCAAGAATGTGTATCTGAGTTCATAAGCTTTGTCACTGGAGAGGCATCCGACAAGTGTCACAAGGAGAAGCGCAAGACAGTCAATGGGGACGACATATGCTGGGCTCTTGCATCTCTAGGGTTTGATGATTATTCCGAGCCCCTAAAGAGGTATTTATACAAATATAGGGAGGTAGAAGGAGAGAGAGCAAGCCATAACAAGGCAAGCAACAACGAAGAAAGAGATGATTCCTCGAAGTATAGAGGTGAATCAATCTTGAAGGCTACTGTTTCTCCTCATACTCCATTGAAGCTCCCTGGGAATATTGATAGAAGTAACAGTCTCTCAAGGCGATTTTGAATTCTTGGAACAAAGTATGTTAACAGTCCTTAATTAGTCCTAAATATTGCCGGTATTGATATAGCTAGTTTTTATGATATTTGGTTATGTTTCCTTTTTCTTTTTTTCTTTTTTTTGTGTGGTGGTGATCATAGTGGGGCATAATTGCTGATGAGGGGCTAGGGAGGCTGATTTAGTTGTGTTCGATCAATTTCTGTGAGCGTTAAAAATTCTTGGGTTTGTTTTTGATTGATTGTTATTAATTACAGTAAGAGTTATGTGAAATTAAGGTTAAGACTTTGATAATTAAGTCCAATATTCAAGCTACATCCTGCTATTAACTCATTCCGCTAATTTTAATATCTTTGATAAGGATTCTCTCTGTTTGCTTTTGTTTTTAACCCTATTTCACATGAGATAATTTATCCTTTAGGGTTTCAATTGCAAAAAAAAAAAAGGGAAAGAAATTCATGCTATGAACTTTCAAAATATCAATTAGATTTACAGCTGCCTATGGTACTCAAAACGAATCTTAAGTCATATGATTTGCAATTCTCAGCTTGTTTATTTTGATTTAAAGTATAATTAGGAGGGATGGAAAATAAAGTAAATTGTTTGAAATATAAAAAAATGATGCTTAATTAATTTATCACTTAATTTATTTATGTACTGTCGGTTTGGCGTTTGGTGTTGAAAGTGGTATCTAGTTGTATTTGTAGCCGGTTTGACGTTTGGTGTTGAAAGTGGGATCTAGTTGTATTTGTAGCTTTAGATGTAGTGGAGTTGTGATGGTAGTTGCTTTTTAAAATATTTTTTATTTTAAAATATATTAAAATAATTTTTTTATTTTTTAAAAATTTAATTTTAATATTAAAATATCAAAACGATTCAAAAATATTATGATAATATAATTACAGAACCTTAATTTTATTCTATTCAAATTAAAAATGATAATAAAAAGCTATATTGCTAACTCAAAAAATATATATATTATATCTACAATAAAAATTAATTTATGATACTAACTAAATATGAAAATATACAAAAATAATTTTAATTTTTTATATTGCTAAAATTAATATACTTGTATATTGTATATAAAGAAAGAAAATTGTTTTGTTTAAAAAAAAAAACGAAGGAAAACTTGCATTGAAAAGCCAATCATCATGAACCTTTTAAATGTGTTTTATAAGCTGAGTATATAAATTTGAAAAATCTAAAACTAGTTTTTCAGTTTTTGCAATATTGAGTTTAAATAGAAAGTTTCAGGTTCTTTTTCCTTAAATCTATTTTTCTTGTAAATTAAAATACTGTACTGTTTCTAAACCGTCACAAAACTTTTATTTTTTTATTTCTTACATGTGGCTTATTCTTACGAAAATCTTTGACATTTTAAAAATATGGTTGTTATTATTTTTTAAAGTTTTTTTTACTCAGAAATGTATCAAAATAATTTTTTATTTTTTAAAAAAAATTTTTAACATTGATACATTAAAATAATTTGGTACATCAAAATATTTTTAAAATATTAAAAAAATATTAATTTTTAAAAAATATAAAAATATTTTTAAAATGCAAAGCAAAAACCTCATAAACAAGTACCCTTTCTCGTAAATGGATTCTATATATTATATTGGCCTGTTTTAGTTTAATTGTAAATAAGGATGGATTATATATACATATAAACTTAACACAAAAGAATAGTAGGCCTTCGACATTGTGGTGATCATAAGAGAATATTGAAAAGTTTTGAACATGAGATCTCAAGTTCTTGCATTTATTTTGTACTACAAAAATGTAATAAAATATATAAAATCTGAAGATTGAAAATATTATGTCTTTCATATACACAAACCGGAAAAATCCTGCCGTCGTAAATCATCCAATAATATATTAACCCATAATTAAATCATACAATTATGATACTGATTACTGTGTCATGAAGAATTCATAGTACTGGAATTAATCCTCCTGTTGCCGTCTCTATCTATGTGTTTTCATTAAAAGTCCCTATCCTGGGTTCATGTTTCGCCATTCATGTATATAGCCATGTGATATTCCTGGTAGACCATATATTGTCTATGGTTTTTTTTTTTTTTTTTGAAAGCCCTAGATCCGGGACCACGATTTCAATTGTCTTGAACTATCCTAGTTTGTCGTGATCTCACACACACACACATCAAGTCTCGATCATGCTGCAATTTTTTATATAAATGATTTGGATCATCTTCCCAAAAGCGAGGATTAGTCAATATTGTCTGGATTCTTAGAAGATAGGGACGAGATCATGGAGAAGCTATTAGAGTAAACATTACTAGGAAGGCTTTCTGGGGTTTGTAAGGCATCAAATCCTACTTTGGCCATTTAATTTATTACATATGCTAGCTAGCGGATATTTCCTTGATCACCACTAAAGATCAAGAGAGAGGAACAAGATTTACGCTTTTCTTTCAATGTTGGGGAGCTATTCCGTTCTTCTTTTACAAAAGCTAGGAAATTTTCGTACTCCTGTGGCCTTCTCGAGCTAACAAAGCATATACACAAATGCCCAGATTAGTTTATCTTCTGAACTACCTTAAAATTTCTCTAAAATGAAATACACAAATGCCCATCTAATACACGAATTGAAAAAACCAGAAGAAAACACTGTTTTTTGGGTATTGACGAATTTTATCACTCGTTACAGTACCCGTACGTATAGTGTACGGACCACAATTCACACCCATGAACGGGGCAAAATGGGAGGGGGTCTGAGCACTTCTCCATGTGACATCTAGCAGTCGGGCATGTGGTGCCGATGTGCTTCAGGACACGTGGTGGAGTTGTAAATGGTGCAATTTAGGTAGCTAGTCTAAGCAGAAATATTTTTGCCGGCCACCATTTTGTACAGGCAGATTATCTTAGTGACGCGATCATTTGAGTGCCATCAATAATTGGTTCTTGTCTAAAGCATTTCGATAAAGGAGAGTGTATTAGACTCTTGAGATGAATTGCTCCTCCATGTAAAACTGCGGTAAATTCTGTGTGTATTCATTTCAAAAGTAAACAGAAAACAGAATTATTTCAGCTAAGACTTTATTCTTTTATAAAACTCTTTAAATTTTTAGTGCCGTTGGCTTGCTAAAACTTTTCTTAACCAAGCGAATAGGAAATTGTGCTATTCAAGGATACCCTTTGTTCTCGTAATATTAATAAATAATCGCAGAACACATCTTTGCGAGCCAAGCGTAAAAAAACGTTAAAATAAAATAAAAATCACCATCTAATTTTATGATAGATAAGAACCCTAACTGGTTTTTATATCTTCTGGAAATAACTGAAGGTACTGCAATGTTTCGTGGAAGTCCCTCCTGCAGAAAACACAGCTGCTACATCGCTGCCCTGCACAAAGGTGGTTAGATATCGTATGTATACAACAGTGCAACACTTGCATGAAAATGTATGGTAAGTTAGGGAAATCCTTGCTCACCGCCTAATTCGTCTTAACAAGTGCTCGATTTAACATTCTATATATGGTATTCTAGGATTCATAATTTCATATCTCTGTTTATTCTTTACAAAATCAATATCATCTTCACGAAGTACACTTCTCTTTATCTGCTACCAGCGGTCTTGTAGTAATTACATGTAAGCTTCTAGAGGTAGGCTTGTCTTACCATCAGCACTTGATTTTATCTTACAGCTCGTAAGTCATACCAACCTTAAGCAAGCGCTTGTGAGGAATGTCAAACACCTTCTCACTTTGTCTCAAGTTTTTCTTCAAGAAATTGTAAGCGTAATTGATTAAAATTCTATCCCCCAAACTCGCTCCTTTGCTTGCAATCACTTCATTCTCACCAATCAAGTGAACAACACCAGCACGGCATGCCTTGTCGATGATCTCGATCTCTATCTCTGCCTCTTCTTGTTGCTTCTCTTTTTCAGCAGCTTGCTTCATCTTCATATCTTCAACTTGTCCATCATCTGGTTCTCCTTCTTTCTCGATCACCTCCCCATTACTGAGAAATGCTTGGGAGAACCACTGCTCGTTTCTTATGAACTCCTTCAATTTTTCAACTAACATTCCCTCGAAAGGCTCTTGTTCATTGCGCACGTCCGTGTATCCATATCTGGCCACACAACGAAACACATTGAGGTCCTTTGGTTCCACTCTACGAAAAAGGAAACGTTCCTCAGCTGGAACCTTGCCAATTGGCAGAGTCTTGATGGATACGAAAACAAGGACTGAGTGTAGTGCAGGCACATTTTCCACATAGTGCTTGAAGATGGGTGGGATGCCGTGAACAAGTTCGGAGTAGAACATGGCAAGTCCAGGAAGCCTGCTAAAGTTCCCTGCAGAAACCTCCATCAGCTTGCCCGGAGAAATCTTGTGATCAAGCTCGTAATAGTACTTTCTTCGATACACATTGTTCCAGCTATACATTATAGCCATTAGAACCCCAGCAAATGCTAATGGCAGATATCCACCTTGGTCAAATTTGTAGAGGACAGAGCTTAAATACAGAAGCTCCACAGTTCCAATTGTAAGCACGAAGACAATTACATAAAATATGTTGGTTTTCCATATCATTAGCATGATGAGTACCAGGAAGGATGATGTGAGAGTCATTACAAACACCACGGCAATTCCTGTAGATAGCAACTAATTTATCAGTCTCAAAGAGTTGGCAGATTGAATTTATTAAAAACAGTTATGGGTGCATCATCTGAGATTTGAAAGAGGCTAAAATAATCTGTGAAGAGCTGCGGTTTACCATATGCGTTGCCAATCTTTGCAGTAGTCTTAAAGCCAAGCGTGACACAGACACATGCCACCATAAGAAGGTAATTGACTTCTGGGATGTAGACTTGTCCTTCATACTTAGCCGATGTGTGCACGATTTTCACCCGAGGGAAACATCCAAGTGCTAGTGATTGTTGAATTATGGAGAATGTCCCCGAAATCATGGCTTGACTTGCAATGATTGATGCCATTACGGCCAGCACAAACATTGGCCAGTACAATGGGTCTGTATATAATGCAGTTGCCTTGAATGGTTAAAAAAACTATGGCTATAATGAAAAATTAACAGACAAGGAAATTCATCAACCTGGAATAGACTTGAAGAAGGTCGCTGAGACAAGATCGTTGTGCTTTCTAAGAAAGGCGGCTTGTCCGGTGTATGCCGATATGAGAGCAGGGTATGTCACAACGCACATGCTTATTTGAATGGACCGAACTGTGAAATGACCAACATCAGCAAATAGAGCTTCAGTTCCTGCATGCAAGTTGTTAGTTAGTGGCTGTCTAATGAGAAAAAATTTAA